TGGTAGGTCTTGGTCCTGAGCTAGTGCCATAGGGTGAGGCTGCATTTGGGCACAGGTTGACCTGCAGGCAATGAAACCAGTTTTTTTCCTAGTGCTAAATTTTCTGGTACGAGTTGTCCTTCTGCCTCATTCTTCTCCTTTCCAACTGGTGGCTTCTTTTCCTGACATATTTCTTCATCCATCCACAGGTACCTTTAATTAGCAGCTTGAGTTCACTTGAGACATACTGTAGAACAGCTGTGGATTGGCTGATGATGCTCTCTTTCACCAAAACATTTTGGCTAGTGGCTTAAACTACATAGAAAGCTGAGCGAGCACTCAGTGTTCTAACTGATCAGAAGGTTCTATAGCCTCTGGGTCTCCCTGCAAGACCACAGACAGTAGTGGCAAGATAAACATGTTGGGAAGAGGCTAGCTAGACGTTTTTACAAACACATCTGTTTGCAGTGCAAACTTACTGATAAAGAACAGTTAAAGCTAGTTATCTCTAGAGCTAAAAGGATGAACCTGTGGTAAGGAAATGATGCTTCATGTGAAGTATTGCCCTTCAGATGGGGTGGTCTATTGGGGCAGATTTTATGCTCAGGGCAATTTTTGTCCTTTCCTGATCTGAGTTTGGTCACTTACAGTGCAGAAATGTACTTGAATTAAAGCAGTTGGGTGGGCATGGCATTCATCTGAAAGTTGACTAGATGGCTAGAATGCCGGATATCCATCAATAGAAAAAGTATACTGCAACGGTACATCTCAGCTACTAGGCTTGTGAAGGCAGCCATGCTTTGCCTCAGTGGGTCACTTCATGTCACTTAGGTGATGCCATCTGCCACAGTGAAGAAGACTGCTTTGCTTTGATGCCTTTTCTGGCTGTTCCAGCAGCTAAGAGAGATTCTCAGGCTTCTTCTTTGACTTCTAATTGCCTCCTAGCTTCTCGAATTACTGGCCAAGCCCTTGAGAGCCATGAATCAATGAGGCTGCTTTGGTTTGAGGCACCCCTCCAAAGCTTTGCATAACCCTATTGGCTACATCAACAGAACAGCTGAAATGGGCAGGATGGTGGAACATACTTCTACTGTGTTCTAACCTCCTTCAACTGGGTGGTCTTCAGATGTGTTGGATGACCATCCACATAATTTCTAGCATTCACATTGTCTTTGATTGGTTGGCACTACTGAAGGGCTACTGTTTTTTCACTGTAGATTATACTGATGTGCGTTTTCCCATAGTGAGCTAACCTTGGATGCAGCTAGCACACTGCTCAGATTCTGCAGTAATGTGAGCCTTTTAATAGATTAAATTCAGTCTAGGACACACGGCTGTCTAATGCAGAGCAGCAAATGGCTTATCCCCACCCAACAAAACCAAGTAAGTTATGTGGACACCAGAGGAGAGGAGGTGTTCTCTCCATCTCTCATTGGAAAAATACAACTAGAACAAATTAAATCATTGAAATAGCTAAGCATTCTTTGGACCAAAGTCCATGTTGCTGTAGCTGGCTCCGCATGCCAGCTACAGCAAGATAAGCAATAGAGACCAATCAAAATGCATTACATTATTACTAACAGTTCATGTCTCAAATTCATAATCTGATCAAGACAATTTATAAATCTCACTGCTCTCTTGCATAAAGTTAAAGAGTTCATTCACCAAATCTTATGTATCTGCAACTACTCGTTATCACAAAACAAGATTAAAACAAATCATCTGTAAGATATGTGTGCATTTTATTTTTATTTCTTCTGGAGAATCTCCAGTAAGGTCTTTCCCCTGCCATGTTCAGTATTCATGCTCACTAGGGAAGAAACAGGCAGAGGGCTTTATAATCCTGTTTCCTAGGCCCCTCTGAGTTTAAAAAGTCCTTAATTTTGATAGCTGAACAGTGCATTATTTTATGTAGTTATAATTGCATACTATTAACAGAAATTCTATACAGATATTAAAAATAGGCTAAACAAACAAAACCATATAATAGGGCTTCAGTGCAATTTACTCCCCCGAGGCATATTTGCCATTGAACACAGTGGGATTTACTGCTGAGTAAGCACACATAAGATTTCTATCTTAACACAGCGCTATAAGAAGCTAGAATTTCCAATGAGCAGTTTGCCTATTCAGATCATCAAGTCAACTTTGCTCTTTAGGGATATGCATTCAAGATTAATCCATCATTGCTAACTTTAGCCAGGGTGAGCCACCTACAACTCTAAGAGCACCCCCAGTGGGCAGAATTGATATTTTCACTTAGTGGGGTGGGTCGATTTTGGTAGTTTAAGGGAAAAGTGATATATTAAGCCTTGCAGAAATTTAAGATGCTAATTTCCTCCTTCACTCCCTAATTTTTCTCTTCCAGAGAAAGGGTTCTAAGAGGCACAATGAATGTTTCAAGTGTGCAAGGCTTCAGGCCCCTACTTCATTCTTACACCTCCTCAAATCTGGTAAATAAACCCCAAACATTGGCTCCACTCAATCCAGTGATGTCATGATGCTATCAGCTCTCTAGCCCAGAGAGATTTGTTGTTGTTGTTGCTGCAAAATGTTGTCCACCTCTGTTTTAGCCTTCATCATCATCATCATCATCATATTATTTCATTTCTAGGCTAGATGCTACTGCCAGGGTAATATAATCTTAGAAGTCCCAAGTCCTCTCAAATTAAAAAATGGTTGACCTCAGAACTGAGTTGAAGAAGAAAACTATATTTCCTGCTAGTCAGATGCTATCATTGTTTAGCCATTCGAGCTACTTGTATGTTAAACTAAAGCAGGATGGACGACAGAACTGAGGAATCTCTGGCATCCAATCCATCTGGACTGTGGGACTTCAGGAAGCATTTTATCACTTCAGTGAAACTCTACCTCCTATCCTTTCTCTAGGGAGTTGTAGCTTCTTCATGGCAGCGGTGACGCCTTGAAATAAAGCTTCCCCAGATTTTGTCTGCTACTTCGCTGTTGCAAAGGACAGGAAAAGCCAGTTTTCAGCAATGTGGCCTTTGAAGGCACCTCAAGCTGGGAGCGTTTTCAAGCACATGCTCCCAGGGAGGAATCTATATATACAATAAATAAATAAATAAAAATAAATAAAAATCACTTCAAAGCATTCCTATGTTCTTGAAGCTGCTTCTATGAAAACTATGTGACATCTGGGGGTAGAGATGGTTTTAGAGGAGGCAAAGCTTTCGTATGACTCTTTTACATCATCTGACCCACTTCAGGGCTTCAGGAGGGCTGCAGCTGTTAAGCCAGATTCTGTACCCTAGTTCACTGTGGATTAGATTTATTGATTTGTATTAAAAAAAAAAGTGCTAGTCCAGTCCTTCAAATACTTGCGTTTATTCAAGGACAATTGTACAGGAACGGAATCCTTGGGGTTCTCTGAGCTTGGTTCTTTTCTTACAAACGTTTCATTACCTGGCTAGGTAACATCTTCAGTGCTAAAATGGGTTGGGGTTTGCTCTCCATTTTAGCACTGAAGATGTTACCTAGCCAGGTAATGAAAT